TCTCTCTCTCTCTCTCTCTCTCTCTCTCTCTCTCTCTCTCTCTCTCTATCTCCATCTCTCTCCATCTCTCTCTATCTCTCTCTCTCTCTCAGCTTGGATAATACTGATAACGTTATAAATTACATTTCATTTAATGAAAATAAAACGGCAATGCATCATAATGTTTTATATCTAAATAAATGAAACGTCTGGACTAGCCAAACTTGTTGCAACGCTGCATTTGCATAGAAATAATGTTTTGCATAAACAACAGCAGCGTATGAGAGATCAGGTTGTTGAAGGTGTTTTGTTTTATTTTATTGTTTGAATTATCTCCAACTTCAGCCTCCTCTGATTTATTACCCACCACCGCCACAATGTTTTAGTTAGACGGGCTATTCTTAACAGCAACTAGTCAATTATTGTAAACTTTACATGAATTTTAAACTACTTAAAACAAATGTAAAAACCACACAGAACCAGTCCAGTAACAGTAAGTTAGGTCAGCATCTTTCTTTTATTTGTATTTTTGTGCTCCACCCAGTGAGTTAAAGTGACTCACCTGTTTACTCTCATCTGGTCCATTTCTCGTCCACTTTGGCTCCGTTCACTTCATCCGCCTTGTTCTGTGTTCATTACAGCAAAACACTTAATAATACTTTTAGTAGACGTTTATTTTCTTCAAACATTATTTTTAGAAAAAGTAGACAGTAGTATTGTAAATATACTCACCTCACAACATAAAACAATCTGTTGGGTCTACAAAATATGAGATTTTTTTTTTTTTTTGGGGGGGGACGACAAAATTTGGATCAGTCAGAACAAACAGAGCTTATTGGAATTTTCACTCAAACTACAGCATCCCTCTTACTGTTTCTAAAAGTGAAACTTCTAACAGCTACCAATACTCCGCCTTACAATTACAAAAACTTATGGAAGTCCTCCAAAAAAACAAGAAAAGATTCAAAAAAATGTGACCTAGCTTTAGGGCCAACAGAAGACAAAAATGAATCAAGTTTGTCATCACCTTGCCTCAAAGTTTTAACTGACTCTACAGGTCCAGATTTTATTTTCTCATCTTAAAATCTAATGAATCACTGTGGGAACAGATCACCAAGTCTGATTTTAACAAACGTGTGACAGACACTCTTCCTCTCAGTACGTAGCTGCAGATTCTGCAGGAGAATGGTGGGACCTGCTGCCTTCACAACATGGGATGAAACATGTGCAACACGATCCGAGTGCCTGACACATTTGTTTTAAGTGTAACTGAACAAATGATTTAAAGATATATAAATGTTTTTAGTTGTAATTTTACAAAACAGCATTGTACGATGAGGCTTTTTAGAGTTTGCAAGCGTTTTTAAACTGACATATCTTGTGCTGTTTCGATCTTGCCACTAGCTCTTAAACCCCCGGGGTAAAACTGAAATATGAGTCTACGATGAAGTTAGACTCCAAACATTCTGCTAGCTCCTCAGATAAATAACGTTATTAAGTTACGTTTTATGTAAACAAATGTTTCCGTTCACTGCCCTGAGATGACTTCGGTTGTGACGGCGCTATATAACTGAACTGAATTTAAATTAATATAAAGTATCAGTCAAACAACTAAAAATGTCACAGTAATGTCCCCATACAATGGTGAAATTGGTTCTCTGCATTTAACCCATCGCACCTGGAATACACCCAGGTGGAGCAGTGGGCAGTTATGTAAGCTGCCCGGGGATCTTGCTCAGAGACACCATGACATGTGGGAATGGCTGGGGATTGAACCTGGGACTTTTGGGCCCTGAGTCAGCTGCTCTACCTCTGCACCATCTCGGCCCCTGAATGTGCAATCTGTATGTCCGAAGCTCATTGGCTTGAGGTCCACACTATCTAGTATTGAATTAAGCTTTTATTTATTGCACTTTTAGAGGTTTATTCAATACAGCTAATCTTTCTTTGCTTTAATTAACTGATTCAAGGAACCAGTTCACAAACCAAACTAATGCAACAGTAAAAAAGCAATGAGGTACATTTCACTTCATTGCAGTGCTTCAGAAAATAATGTATGTATTTTAATCAGAATAGGCAGAAGTTCTAATCATTTTCTCTCCCTCCACTATTTAATTATAAGATTAGAGAAAAAAAAAATCAATAATTGTAAATTCAATTAAATTAAATTTATCCGAGCTCTTTTGTTGCTTTTAACTGTTTTCTCTTAGCTGTTTTGCTTCAGTGCTGCAGTAAAGATGTAGTGTCAAGCACCTGAGGACATATGTTGTTGATGTAGGATGAATGGGAGAATCTTAATGAAAACCTTTCCAGTTAACAAGTTTATTGAAACCAACATTTTTATTCACCAAAGTAGTGCCATTTCAACTTTTCTCATCGATCTGACATGGATTCGTCTTTGTTGAAGCATTTCATCTTTTATCCAAGAGACTTCTTCAGACTCAGTTGATTGCAGTGTTTCAGACTGAAGAAGTCTTTTGGTTGAAAGATGAAACATTTCAAAAAAGAAGAATCCGTCCAAAGGACCTGGCTTCACCTTGTTAGATGTTTCTACCTGAATTATTGAGCATGCATCAGGACATGTTGTCATTGATATTTTATTTTAATCAAATTTGTTATAGTTGTATTTACCACTTTTTAGTATTTTTTTTTTCTGTATTGCATTTTTAGTGCTGTCATATTACTTTTAAATTGGTATGAAGAAGCACAACACAAAAAGAAGGATTCTCGTAGAATTGATGAATGAAACTGCAACATAAAATATATAGTTATGTTTCATTTGAGGATAGGGTGAACTTTATTTCTTAAAGTTCTATCAAGTCCAGCCACTGAGACTGGATATAATATTAAAAACACTATAGCAAGAGCGAGTGACATATTGCAAATTCATTATATATGAAAGGCTGCTTTGGAGCCATAAACGTTGGGAATGAGATTGAAATTGAAAAGTTATTTGGAACAAATATTGTAAAATTCATTTTTTTTTTCCATACATTGTGGACCACAGTTCAATAACTCTTCTGTTGAATTCATTTGATCATATAAAAAATGTTGTCAGCCACACATAAAATGTCTGCGCCTAGTTCCACAAAATGTCCCGTCAGTCATTTATCTTACTGATCATTTACTTCATGATGCAAGTGTCGCTGCTCGCTTCAGTCTACGTTTTGAACTGTATTCATGCAGGAAGAGTGAATAACAGCGTGTCCAGTGGTGGTGTTCATATACAACACTGCGTGTGTGTTTAATAGTCTTCTACCCTAAAAAAAAAGTAAAACACTCATGTAATATTCATATTGTAAACTCCCTTTTAGTAAGATTGATAACCATAATTAGATCCCAGATGATGGTGTTTGCCTTTGTTACTCCTAATTTACTCAGTTCTATCTGACATATCATTCTGGCAAATGGAAATAAATGGTCGGCTTAACGTACAGACGAACAAACAAAGAAAGCACGTCCTCTGGCTATGATTTACATGGAAGGTGTTTGGCATTGTGGCACTTTGCAAGACTGACAACACACTATTACTTGTGTCCTTCACAATGTGCTTGCAAACTGTAGAGCGGATTACTAATTCTTGAGGACAATAGAGTCTTGTTCCATGTTGTCACTGGAGAATATTTGTTAGCGCATCATCCTAATGTTGTTTTTCCTGGTTTTTCTGAGAGCAGCCTGTGAGCTCTGCTATTTTGCTCACATTGTTACTTTTTTTCCAATGGATAGAAAATGCATACGATTCGATGAAACACGTCAAAATATAGCACAGCATATGTTAAATCTGCATTGTAGATTTTAAAAAAATCTTGTTGCACGGTCACATGCTGTAAAGCTGATTTAATTGAATATAAAGTGCAACTCTAAAAGTGAACACGATTAAAATGGAGAGTTGGAAAAAAAAATAATAATTCACACCGTACCAGATGGTGTGCATATTATGCTTTCTAAACCTGTACAGAGTAAGATTTAATGTACCGTGCATTAAAACAAATTTATAAAGACAGAATTTGGGGGGAAATGTAATTTACTGCTGTGTATTATTTTGCACGTGCTGCATAAATAGTCATTAAACAGCTCCTGTTGGCACTGGAGCCAGCATCCTTAAATTGCTTCCATGAGTTTCTATGTAGTAAGGAAGCAATAGTTTTAAAAAAAGGATAGGAGATATAGCAAACAGTTGTGTTTCTAATGTCTTCAATTCTTCTTTCTTAACCTTTGCAGGTGTCATGGGTGAATATGAGCCCAAAATTGAAGTGCATTTCCCAACATCTGTTCTGGCTGCTAAAGGAGTGACTGTCAGGCTGGAGTGCTTTGCTCTAGGAAAGTAAGTAAACAAGGACAAAGTGCACAAATATAGATTATTGTTTATTATAGTAGCATCACATAATTCACCAGGAACAGCAAACTGCACCCTCTTATGTTGTCTCTGGTATACTGAGATAGCCTCTATTGTGCTGTCTGTGTTCTTTTCTCTACTTTAAATTTCATTATTCCATTACCTGAATGGGAACCAGGCATATCTTGTCTTTAGGCAGTATGTTAAGTGAGTGTCGAGAAGTGCAGCATCGGGGCTCTGCTGTTAGATGGCATGTTAGTGCATGGAGAGGGGGAGGACTGAAGGGGGGATTCAGCCCGAGGGACCCATGTGTTCTTATAATTGAGAGCCCTAATGTATCTGTGTTTGCTGGATGCTTTCAGGGTCTGTTATGAATGTAGAAAGCTAAGGTTATGGTTTAAAAAAAATTAATAACAGTTGGCTGGCAGGAAAGAAAACACTCTTTTATGCTCCGAGACTAAATCCAAACCAACCATTGACATTGTTGTTTGGATTTAGTCTTGGTAAGGTTGAGTTTATTATCCATTGTTTTTTGTATTAAAATATTTTATTAACTTTTTTTTTTTTTTTTTTTTAAATACTCAAATGGTTAAACTACTGTATATGCAGGTATACAATTTAAACTTTCATATCAAAATTATTGGCTTATTTTTTTATTTGTGTTTTAAAAAATGAATTTATGCTTAGTATAACATAAGTAATACATTTTATTTATGGACAAAATGCTAAATGACATCATATCAGTAAACAGGCAAACACAACTAGCAACTAATTTATGAAAAATATAATAAAAAATGCATATATAAATAAAACAATAATAATGCAAAAATACTGTGTGTGTTAAACCAGCCTGAAAAGATGAGCTTTTGGCTAGCATGAGAAAGTTCCAGAGATAATGGGCAGTATGACTCCAGACTCTTAAGCTGGTTGTGGATTTATTTGCAGATTGAGCAGAGAATTGGGCAGAGGAAGAGAATTTGAGAGTTTGGTATGGTGTGCAAGGTTGGATCATTTTACAGAGATGTGGAGGAGCAAGATTATGGAGGATTAGAAGTGAGGAGGAGGACCAATGTCACACTAAACAAGGAGCCAGTGGAGTTATTTGAAGATGATAGTGATGTGTTCAGTAGGTGGGGTTCTGGTGACAAATTGAGCCGTAGAGTTGGTGACCATGCAAAGTTTAGAATAAAAACAAGTCTGTCAAACTGAAATAACTAGAGAAATTGCATATCCTGCAAAAATGCAGTGTGAATGCTTGTTGCTGAATAATTTTCTGAAAAAAATGCTGAAATTGGCTACAATCATGTTGAATTCTAGTTCAAATATAAATTAGCAGAAGAAAGCAGAAAGGACACACATTTGCTGAATTAGGTGTAAATAAGCAGAAATTAGCACAAAAACTAGTAAATCAGCTAAAAAAAAAGCTGAAATTAGCACAAAAATAGCTGAAAAGTAGCTGAAAATGCAAGAAGAAGCTTAAATTACTAGAAGGAAGTGGAAAGAGCACACTTGTACCCAATTAGGCTGAAAGAAATAGAGATGAGCACAAAAGAGTTGAAATTATCTGAAAAAAGCAGAAATTTGCAAATAAACAGCTGAATCGTAGCTTAAAGGGGAGAAAGAAGCTTAAATTAGCAGAAGGAAGCAAAAAGAGCACACGTTTGCCCATTTAGGCTGAAAGAAGCAGAAATAAACACAAAAAGTACAAATTTTCTGAAAAAGCAAAAAAACAATTCCCAAAACTGCTGAATAATAGCTAAAGAAGCAGAAAAAAGCAGGATCATCCTGAAAGAGCTGAACTTTTTGATATGATTTGTTGAAGTAGCACAAAAAATGTGGAACGAGTTAGATGCCAAATAATGTACGGAAGAAGTATAATAACTATAGTAAATATAAACAGGAAAACAAAGCATTCACACAATGAGAGCAGCAGTGTAGTTACAGTTAGATGAAGGTTTTGTGACACTGTGTTTTTAACTGAATAAATAAATATATATATCTGCAAAATAATGGCTGCTGTCAAAAATAAAGCTTTTAAGCTGTTGAACTGTTATCAAAAGTTGTTAGGGGCCACTCATGAGAGAAAGTGGCTTTGGGGCCAACAGGAACAAATTTCGTTACTGGTGAGTTTAAAGAAATTTGTGACAAACCAGTTTTTGATTTCTTCTCAGACAAACGAGAGAAAATGAATGAAGTATAGAAAAAGGTTAAGCAAACAGATAAAGCTGAGTGTCATCAGCATATCGGTAGAACTGTATTTTGTTTCCTGGAAATAGAACCTAGAGAGAATAAATCAATAATTATAAAGAGACGGTTGTTGTCATTTTTATTAGTAGTAGTAATAAGTTGTCTATTAAACAGTTTACTGATATAATCTCTGATGCATTTTGTACTAAAGAATTCAGAAAGAAAAAAAAAACTACACATGTATTTTCAAGTTCAAATTCAAGTTTATTATCATTCGCATCACATGTGCTACATGAGGAGGAACAAAATTATGTACTCAAGGTCCCAGTTACACCACAATATAGCAGAAATATAAAGTATGAAAAGACATAGTATATAAGGATCTAAGATATACACTAAGATATACGCTAAAAGAACACCAAACAATACGCTAAGAGATCTCAAATAGACGCTAAACACTAATAATGTAAAATAATACGGTATATTAAACAGCAGCCTGGACATTTTACTCTAACAACCACAATCATCAAAAGATTAATGCATACACAGTTCCAAGACCCAGTCAATAAATGAACATTCAGTTACTAATTTCCATCATTTTAAGATATTTAAAATTAAATGTGTGTATTTTTTTATGTTTAACATATCTTATTAAGCTTATAAAAAACTAAATTCAAACTTTTAATGGAATAATTGGAGATCACATCCAGAAACACTTGCTCCTGTTTCTGAATTTATTTGATTGCTGTTACTTGTATGTCCATGTAGCTTTTGTTTGCATAGTTGCTATGCCTGTATTGATATGTATATTGAATACTAATGTGTTTTATTGGTTTTTATTGATTGTATTGTTTTATTTTTGTATAACAAGGCTCTCTTGCAAATGAGACAATTGTGTTTCGATAAGACTCAGCAATAAATAAATGAAACGAAATGAAGAAAAACATTTTTTTTCTTCTTGAACAACCAAACAACTTCAGTTTTCTTCCCTCTGCTTCCCTCGTTGAAGACATTAGTGTGTGATGACTTTGTGTCGGGCAGTAACGCATGTGATTCTCTCTTGATTGCAGAGATGACTGATTCATCAATGCACCAAATTAGGAGATGTCAATCTTTATATGGCATTGAAAATGAAGTTAAATGGGTTTTTTAACCCTATTGGTCGATGTATATGATGGTACCCTTATGTAATTAGGGGCAAAAAACTTTTTGCAGCTGCCGGTATTCCTTTAATGATATAGTAAATTTAAAATATATCAATGACTGTACTTTAGTAGGCCACAAGGCCAACAAAAACAAAAGGATGAAACCCTCAATGCATTGTTCGGTCAGGTTAGTGGTGTAGATTAAAATGCACTGCTTCTTCTAAATATCATGTCGTGTTCGTATGTGTGTGGGCTGGTTCATTTGTCTGTTTGTTAGCAAAATATTTCATGAACCAGTAGGCAGATTTTGGGAACTCTCAAGCTCCTGGATGTACATTTATAGCTAAGTTTTGAAGTTAGGATGTTCGCCACAGTTAATCAATAGCAAACACTAAAGTAACAATAACTGCAAACGTGTACCTAGGATTATGTGTGGGCGTATCTGAGAGTATTCACAAATCCATATTTTGTGTGCTAATGGATAGTACAATATATTTATTTAATACTTGAATTTGTGAGGCAGTGGACGATATGCATTACTTTGAGGAATGCTATTTTCAATACTCTAATTAATCTTAGAGAATTGCACTATGTATTTATTGCTATCATTTATGGCATTTAATTATTCTTATGAACGAACAACAAAACAACAAAATGTTCACCTCGACTATTGCATTGCAGGTCTGTCAGACCATGCAAGACAAGTACAATCAAAATTAAACTTTACTAGTTTTCATCGGGGCTTACTTCTTTATTAGTTGAATGAGGTTGGAAATTGAAAGTTGCCATTGCTCCATACATGTTTAGTTTTGAATTATAATTGAACTGACTGTAAATTCACTTATTTAATAATAATAATAATAATACAATAAAATAAAATTACCAGACAAACATGCTCCTTAGTTTAAAATAAGACATATTAAAGTGTTATGTCATTATCTGAGTTCAAAGTTTTTGGTTATCAATTAAAGACGTTACAAGCTTCACAAATCACCAATTTCCCACACCGTTGTATACAATTTATTAAGCACATGGGATTAATCTGTTCTTAGACCTTCATAAATCATTTCCCAGACAAATAAACAACAACATAGGTTTAATTGAAGAAAAAAAATGGAATAAAACTCAAAAGGAGCATCTTGGGATCAATTCCTCTCTCTTACAAGAAAAACTCACTCTGGATGTCAGGTTAGCAGAAAAGCAACATGGTAGATTTATTGGATACGCAGCTAAAGAACACCTGGTTTCTAGTGTCAGTAAAAATATTGAACTTTTTGTTTTCACCCTTTACATAACATGCTTAAAAATTTATCGTCTTTAGTTTGATAAATAGACCTGATCCTTTTTTACATCTTAACATCAACTAAATTAACTTTTTTCTAACACATACTCACATGTCTTTGACAACTTTCTAGTGCTGGTACATTTATACCAAATCAATTAATAAATCAACAATAATTGATTTATTTTAGCCAATTATGAGGTGGTAAATGTTTTAATCAATGTTCCAAATTAAAATTTGTGACTTTCAGAGATAAGATTAGAATTCAAAAGCAAAGCGAAAAAGACAATAAATTACAAATGAACATAAAATGACAGAAGTTGTGTCATAAATCTAAATTCATAAGGATGGGATAAAAAGTTAAGTACTATAAA